CGGTTAATACTATAAACAAAACTGTTATTGCTTCGGTATGGAATGTTTATACCGTTTTACGTGACACACGACAACAGTTCAGATCCCTGATACAAGTACCTGCTCGGGAAGATTTTTCGAATGTTAATAGGTCTGTATTTAAATAATCGCGTTGTCTCATGGGTCGCTGACGTTAACGTGCTTCGTTCGATTATTCGCCGCTGTTCGAAAGTGTTAAAAGGGTTTAAGTGTCTTTTTCGTTGTGGAATGTTTGTTGGACACATCCATGACCATTTAATCAACGAGACGGGACGCATTCTGCTGTTTAAATTAGTGTTGGAAATGATCGGGTCTGGGTACAAGGTATGACGAAAAAGTTTTTGGAATTTTCATTTACTTTAAAAGATATTTATTTATTCCTTAATCTTGATATGGTCCCCTTGAAAGTAGTCCCTCTCGGATATAATACACTTATGGCGACGTTTTTTCCAATCCTCAAAACCTTTTTGAAACAAACTTTCCGGTATAGCCTTCAGCTCGTTCAGTGATTTTGACATTATCTCCTCTGTGGTCGTGAAACTGATAGTTCTCTTCATCTTTGGAAACCGGAAAAAATCGCAGTGGGTCATTTCCGGTGAATATGGCGGTAAAAACGTTACAACAGTATTGTTTCTTTTATAAAGATCAAAACTCATAACTTGTTATATTTGTCGTACAAAAATCAACGTCAATTATTTAGAAATTTTCGCCGCTGTACATTGGATGCCAAATGCTTCATATCAGGTTCACAATTATTAAGCATATAAAATAATGTCACCGATAAATGGTTCACGTGTCAGCAAAATTTTCGTACGTGCCACCTGGCACGCGGTTGCCATACGTTCGCCATTCATCCATGCATAGCCTGGAGGATATAAATCGACGAACATAAAGACAATATTCCAGTCACCAAATATCCTGACACACGATATTTCCGAAATAAAAAATCCCTTACAACTGATGATAGCCACATTGATGTTCAGTGTAATCCACCAGATAACCATATCACTTTGCGGCCAGTTACAGCGGATCAGCGAGAGTGGGTATACACAGGGGACGACGTTTGCTTTCCCGCGTGTTCTCCAGGTTCCATCAGGTTTCCGTTAAACGTTACGTTAAACGCTCTAACGATTTACTCGCAAGCAGACGTTTCTGTGCGAAATGTCGCCAATTACAGAACGCCACGGACATCGTAGAAACTCCCCTTGAAAATAACATGCTAGAGTGACTAACGCTGATTGCCGGTTGAACGGCAGACGAAACCCTATCTAATCCAGAAACGCTTCGCCGCTTTCACCCTTCCGTTCGTCGGTTCGCCATTAGAAACGCGTCCGCGCGAACGTAACCTCAAATGGGGGGAGGGGGCACGATTTAACGCGCGGGAGAAGAAAGTTTATGGACGTAAGAAACATCGACGATCGCGACTTTTAATTGCCTGGTGTTTACGACAATGTCGGTCCGGCACCATTTCTTGGTGATTTAGACACGGATTAACTTCCTGTTCGATGGTATCCGCCTTGGCTTTAATAGGATCGTTCGCCATACGCAAAAATTGTATCTTGGCTGTTTAAGGACTTCAAGGTTTTTATATTTGATAATCTCGAGGACACTTTATTGGCGTAACAGTTATATGTTGATTTATTGCACTTTGATGTGTAAATCGTTCGATGAATGTCGCTTAGAATAGATATTTATGGGTAATATAACGTTTCTTTCGATTGCCTGTGAAATGATGGACGTCAATGGGATTGGTTTTTTATTAGGTACAGTGATTTATAGGTTTTTTGTTAGTGTAACGGTTTAAGGTTCATTCATTGGACTGAGGAGAAATTGTTCGATACAGGTAGTAAAAAGTTAAATAAGAACAAAGTATGAACGGATTCGCATGAGATAAAGGAACCGAAGAACGAAGATTATATAAATAATCAGTTAAATGTATAAAAATATTTATTTGTGTATACACTTTGTTAATGGTCTGTGAAACAGCAGTCAATGGCACAGATGCAACTGAAGTAGTAGTATTAATGTTATCGAATCTTTGTTGCTATTTTGTGATTTTTCCTAACTAATTCCTTTTTTCGCTGTACTGCACAAAGACGCTAATTAATGCATTACATTCTAGTTTCTAAAGTAATATTATTTCTCATATTGCCACACTTTCGTAATCGCTTTTGGGCTGTCACGTTAAACACTTCGATGGTTTACATGTGAATATAACAATATAACAATATTTATAGCTGAATAATATATTATATATTCAACAATGATATTACCGAAGAAATTAGAAGAAATGTAACGTCGGCCATCTTCTATTTGAATTACAATCTTAAATGAAGTTGCAGTAAATTTTTTCTAAGATGCTGATCTTTTTATTATAATAATGGATTTCTTGAATAAACAACATTCAAACAATTTGATTTTATTAATGTTTAAGTATGTTGAAAAAATTTGAGAGTGTCTGATTTAACTGTACGTTTCATGTTTTAAAACATTTTTGTGTGTACGTACCTGTAAAGTTTCATTGAAAGACATGAGACTTAATGTATTGCAATCTTTGATGCGTATAATAGTGAAACACATGTATTTCTATCGAAAGTACTCGCGGAGAGTAGTAATCACGGAGAAAACGTCGCGCGTCACATAGAGAAATAACACATCACTTTTCAACTGACGGCTTTGGAATTGAATTCGAGAGAGCTGAAAGTTTAATCGTGGAAGAGGTAGTGCTACGAAATGTTCTAAATAGTTCTAATTGATTTGTCAACAGATGTCACGACTAGATGCGTACACATGGGAGAAAGTGATACTACAAGTTTTTTTGATCCAATTTTTTAAACATTAGACATGTCAAAGATATCAGTGAGATGTTCACGTTTACAGAATTATTTGGACAACCTTTATGATAATTACTCTGTTATATAAATAGAATCATATCTGCTTGATTCTAGACAAATCACTCGTTTAATTTTATAATTTTTAATAATTATGTATTTAAATACCGATATTCACCAGTAACGTCTTCACGTTTCTTGTAATTTAAATTATAACGTCAACGAAAATGAGAAAAGCAGAGAAGTAATTACAAGACAGAATAAATTTGAATATTTGAGTAGTAAACAAAGATCAATTAATGAAAAGTGACTTTTAAAGGGGACATGTCAAGTATCTTTCAAGAACCCTCACTTCGTTATTCAAACAATTTTCAACCATCAATTCACAAAACTTCTTCAGACAGTACTCAACATCATACTCAAACAATTTAAAAATAATACGTCCTCTTCAGCATCACATTTCTATTCCAGTGGAATCCCTACACATTCGATCGTATCTGTGAATCGTATTCGACACAATTATTAAATCACTGCAATTATATGGTATATAAAAGTTTGCAGCTTCACTGCCTCCCTGACGTGTACTATCGCTTTCATATACATTGCCTAGAACAAAGAATTTTATTCTACCAACCAAGCGAAATAAAAGTAATATTAGGTGTACCAATATGTCATCCTCTATTTCCTGACAAAATCAATTCACATTTCTACGGAAGCCAAGGATCTATACCCTTTCAATTATATTCGTAATAATTCTCCAACATTCTACACCATTTTTGCTCGGTGAAAGATCAGGAAAATATTTTTGACCCGCTGACTGCCCCCAGTGAAAAGGGCTGTACGTAACCTGAACAATTTATTTCGTCCTTCATTAAGTCACAAATCCTCGAAAATATATGCGTCTAGTTAATGATGACTTTTTATTCTAAATTATACTGCAATATTAATTTTACGCGCAAGTTTTATAACATTTAAATAATCCAGCCTCTTTGCAATGTTTCAACTACGAGTTATCTCTTAGTTGGTACTCAACGTGTTAATTTAAAACACGTCGCCTTAAAAAACGAAATATTGTGTCATTGAATAATTTATCTAACACCCAACAAAATTAATTCCTCTAACAAGAATACCCACTATCACCATCTTCCCCCACCGACCTCCAAACCCAAACACTTTCTGATCCCCACCGTCTGCATCAATCCAAGTCACAAGTCATTCCAGGTCAATCAAGACAAACAAGCACGGTAAACGAGTCCTAGAGCAACGGAGCAAGTTCACAGGATAAAGGCGTGCAGAAGAAGAAAAGAAGGTAGAGATGGGTCAATCGAAGGCTATCAACGTAGAAAACCGTGATGCTGCTGTCCCATCAGGGGTGACGCGAGGCGGCCACCTCTCTGTCGCAGCTGCTCCCCAAGCAAAGCGAAACCCGTATACCTGAATCACTGGTGGAGGGAGGAGGTGGTCCGTAGTGGCCGACTTCTTCCTTCTCTCGGATACGACACGCTTATCCGCCGTGCCGGTTTTCTCGGTCACGGCTGGTGTACGAAAGGGGGAGACCACGCGGGCTTACGAACGAACCACGCTCGTTCTTACATTATCCCCCCACGGCGGTGAGGCCCCGCGAGGCCCGATTCTTCGTCTTACTCTTCTTCTACGGGCCCCCAGCGTCTCCTTTCCACCCGACCAGGACCGAGGGGGCACCGTACACAACCGGGCACCGCACTCAGCGGCGGCTCAAAGAACAGGCCGGAGTGTGTGTGTTCGCTACGCCGGGGACCGCAAGGATTTTTCATTCTCTCGTGCCGGAACACGCCTCACAGGACCCTCTCACGGTCCACCACCGTCCGCTTCCGTGTGTGCAACTCGAGACCCTAATAAATTGAACGCGTAGCCGCTGTCAGGGGGCAAGAGATTCAAGAGGATCCCGTGGAATAGCTTGGGGAAGCTAGTTTTTTCGGGTATAGAAAAGCTTATCGGGTGATTCTGATGAGAAAGTCTGATTAGAGAGGCCTGGTTGTTTCGGTGAAGGAATGAGACGGTTTCGTTTCGGTGGCCGAATCATTTAGAGGACAGTTGTTGGTGACAGTGAATGGTGTTCTGTGCGCTGACAGGGTAGCTAGGGAAGTTGATGACCACGCACCAAGGGCAGCAATGATGACGCGTGGATTACTTTTCGTTTCGGTGCTGGTAAGGACTTGATATTCGTTTCGTATACTGCGTTTTGACACTGTCAAACCATCTGAAGCTAGTCGTGTGTTTCGAGTGGACAACCGGGGAAGGATAATGAAATTTTGATGTGCACGAATGTGTAGTTTTTTGTAGTGGAATACTGCTTTCCAATACGCTGTAATACAATGTGTACTTGATTACATTGAATTTTAAGTGAAAATACAGTAATAGAAAATTTCAAGATGGTTTCATGGTTTTGTCAGTTGTATCATGCTTTATTTCGTAAACAGTGTGATTGATCTGATCTGCATGAATATACTCAGCAACAAAATCAGCATTGGTATTACAATTTAAATATATAATCTATCGATACTCTGTATATTGACGTTTTTAATTCTGTTTTATGGAAATGAATAGCTGACTGATTTTCATAATTTTGGTGAAGTGTCTCAGTTACGTGAAACTTTCGTGTAAGGTCGATGATCGTCTCGCGAAAGGTTCGTCCGTATAATTACGGGCATCACGATATGGACCAATAAAAAACGCTACCATAGAGGCTTAGAATAAATTCGAACAGACACAAATTATCGGTGTAAATACTGCTTTCTTTGAAAGCTTCCAAGGAGATTAGTTAGTAAAGTTTTTTTACAGAAGGCAATGTTCAGTTGAATATATTTGACAGTTGTGTTTAACTTTGAGGTATAAAATAGGGGGCATGATATCACGACGATTTTTATTTCTTTTTTTATTTAATGCAATCGTAGTCAATTCGAGGAATTAATCGTCGCGAGCATGTGGTGTCTTCGTCATGGAAAGGTGACTGACTGTCCACCTGACCACGTCCGCTCGCTCTCTTGGGATAAAGTGGAACAACCTTTGCGTGGCCTTGATCCGGTAACCTGCCGTAACCAGGAAAAGTAAACAGCTTCTCCTTAATTGCCGCAGGTTACTAAGTTCGCTCTCGCGTGGACGCGTTTGAATACCTACTTCCTTCTTAATTAACTACTTAGAGAGACTTTCGTTCGAAACTAACATATCAAAACGAAATATTAAGATTCTATAACATCTACCAATTAACAAATTTTATTATGAGTAGAACTAATTGTCTTTTGAAAATCGTGCTATTCGTTATTATCATGTTACCCTTAAAGTTTCGTTTATTACAATGACAGATCATGTTTTGGTCGTGTTGCGAAAGTAATTGAAGAATCCTAATACTTTTCACCATTCACCAAGTCTTTACCATTAATTCTTAGAGCCACCAATGAAGACTCACTTTATCAATAATTGTGCCAGTGATTATGAAAACGGTCTAAGTAAAAAATTTAAACAAATTGAAAGTATCACTTATTTGATGTTACATCAATTTACGTCACAATAGTATGAAAGCATTTATGCAGAATATTTCATTGACTTCGGCTACTTTCATAATCACCGGCACAACTAAAAAATATTACACATTATCCAACTGTAAATTACAATTTGTCTAATTACCCACATATAATACTAAGATTAGAATTTACACTTCGAATAAACTTGTAAAGTGAGTTTCTCCAGTAGCAGCATAGATACGATTCCAAGCTGAATCGGAATATTTATTCTTTAGCTCGACAGAGCGTTCCGTTTGATCAGCCGGCCAACAGGTCGAAGATTCACCGATGACTCGTGATTTACGACGAGCATTTATCTCCACCGCTCGATATGTCCGGTGAAAGTTTCCGATGATAATCTAACATCCACGAAAGTTGATTATGAAAGCCGTATGAACAGTAAACACGATGTAATTCCCGATCAGATGAAATGCTCAGGCGGGTAAAATGACACAGGTGCATCTAGCGACGTGCGACGAATCTTAGAAAGTTGCGTTTCATCGTTGCCTCTTTTCCATTTTCGAGCAACAACGCATCCATGCTTGGGCGACAGGTGATTAAAACGAAACTTTCCTTTCAAAATTCATGACTCATTGCATGTTGCGTGCGAGAAACGAATCTGTACCACTCGAAAGTTCTTGATTTCTTCCATGAAAGTACATACATATGTACAGATGTGTTAAGCATAGAAGCACTGAGCTTGAAATTAATTTTATTTTGTGAAATCTAAACAATAGCGTTTTTTTCTATTTCTGAACAATTTCATAAATTTATAACGTAATATCTCCGTATGAAATTATTCTTATAAAGTCTTGAGGGATCGCCGAGGAACATGCGATGAGAGAATTGTTCATGGTTAGTGTATTTTAAGTAACAAGATGGGAAGGATTTGTTAGTACTATTTGATAATGCATAGTCATAACTATAATGGGGCCGTTTCGAAACATCCTGAAAATTGTAGAGTATTAGCTAAGAACTGATGACGAACAGTGATACAAAAGAAAAGGATCAGTCAGTGAAATCGTAGCTCTTCCTTCTGGTGAGCATCATGGTTACTGGGTCAACGCTGATTGCAAACACCGGAGGATATGTTGGAATTTCCACTTTTACGGTTATTTCACGCGGCATAATGCACTCGAGCCACTCCACACACGTGCTGTTACATTGCCCATTTCCTGACGACATTAACACTTCGACTTCCCGGCGGTGTTGCTTGTTGAATTATTGAGATCACCGAAGCTTACCACAAACATGATATTCGACAAAAAAAAATGTTATCCGACTGTTTTTGACATTGTTCTACTTTTAAATCTGCGTACTGTTCCTTTGTAGATTATACTTAAATTGAGGAAAGAATTTGATCGATATTTAGCTTATACATGTGGAACTCTGCAAATAGGGAAAATAACAGGGATAAAAATGGCAAATAGTAACTGTAATTGGACAATATTTAGTATAAGTAATACTGATTCCATAGTAAATGATATAATGCATGGGTTCAATATAACGAGTTAAAGTTTGAAAATTTACCTCGCTATAATGAATTAGAAATTATATCGGACGAAATTAAAAAACGATCGAGGGTATACAGAAATCAGTTCATTCGCCAAATTAGAATACAATTAATTAAGTCGTACAGAATTTAACTGGATGTATCGGAATAGTAATGATATGACAGTAATCGTATCAGTGACGTATCAAATGTGACTCGATACAGGACAAAGTGAAATATTGTTTTGGCTAATAATATTAACGAAAACCATGTCATTGCATTGAGATACATTGGTACTACCAGCGATGTCGAAGTTGACAGCGCCAAATCAGATAAGATGTTCAACGTGGGTGTACCCCGGGGCTTTTTTTGCAAAACACGCAGACCACCCAAGAATACTAGAATTTAATTCAATTGGACTTGTAATACATGTCAAGATCAATCAGAGGATTTTCATATCATTGTCCAGTCACTATAAAGTTGACAGCCTTTCGTAAGAATTAGTAACAATGCGCTACAATCAGTGCATTCTTCAAATTTACATTTTTAACAAGTGAATCAGGAACAGACCCACTTGTTAAAATGATATTAATGTTTGATGTTTCTAAATTCGTAATTAATCTATAGACCGTGGATGTTTATGTATTTATACTAAATTTTAATATACAAAGTACAGTAAAATAATGACTTTAATAAAACTTAAGGATACTTATGTATTTTTATCAACATAATAAGACATCTAGTACAGGAAATACATTTTTATCTCATTTTCATATTCATAAATTAATGTTTACAATTCTGAATTTTCGTAAACATCTACAGTCTGTTTATAGATTAAGATCATAAATTATTCTCATGATTATGTAGATTTAGATCAATATCTTAAAACCGACAAATCCTCGTTTAGTTCATTCACTATGCAGCATAATATTGAGAGATTTATCGTTTATTCTAAATTGACCGCTTTCACGCTGAACTACTGAGAGTTCCGTCATGCCGGTTCATTGTCAAAAATTCATATTTTAGAAAGTTACTCTAGCCCAATAATTTGATATCAACGTGAAAGTCACGCGACCGTTTATTCAAATTCAAGGAGAGAAACTAGGCGACCATTGACTAATGAAAATCTCCATCGAACCGATGCAGTGTCCACCAATTAATCGATGATTCATTGGACGTGGATCGGCCGATACAGAGTTTAACGCCCGTGTATACCGGCACTTCCCACCAGACATCGAGATAATAAAGATCGTCTACGAGGCCGTGAACACGCTCATTCTGTTCGAAACTAGCCGGACCATTCGGAACAACGTGACTTTCACCTGTACGGTGTTTCTCGTAAATCGTAGGCAGCGTTTTTTTTCCCTATCATTCCTTTTCTCGCACCGTCCGATGGAAAATCTTCTAATTTCACTCGGCTGGGGCAAGTCGATATATTCTCATTTAGAAGATAGGATAAACGATTTATTTAATGTTGCTGTTATAGTAAAGATATTTTAGTGAATCTTCGAGTAAAGAAGAAATCGCGATATAGATCAAATCGTAGTACTCGTTTTCAAGACCAGGCTGCAAATTGACTAAAGTACTCTGAAAACAGACTATATTACAAAGCCTATCAGGAATTGATTATAAAAGCTGTCAATCTTATAGTTGATGAAAATTTTTATCATAACTTTTTCCTGTTCTGAATTAGGAACTATGTTACAGTTCTGTTCCAATTTTTTTAACGGAGCAAAACAATTTTACTGAAAATTCGTCTCTGGTTAATCTTTCAGAGGTATTCCATCTTCACATTCGTAAACGTAGATCGTTCGTCATAACGTAGATTAATTATGTTTTAATACTTAATAGTAGGTGATTCTTACGACACAGCAATGAATTAAATATACAAGGTGTTTATTAATTGTAATGCTGGTTATCCACTTTAGTGTAAACTGTTCCGACCTTCACATTCGAGAGTAAAAACAACAGCTAATTAACCAGTTAACCGAGGAGGATAAATTAAGTTCTCAATGGTGTATGACGTTTCTTCATTTACCCACCTAAACTTTCATTGTATCGTGATACCCACAATAGAATAAAATACATTGTAGGAGTCTTTAGAATTGAAAACTATTTGGGCAATAGGTTCACCCTCGGAAGACGGACCAATGAAGGAGACAGCCGGGTCATTTTTGACCCATACCATAATGTCGTTTGAATATATCAACAAAATTCTTAGCCTGTGTATTAGAGTAAACTTAAAATCTGAGTAGTGATCCATATTCGTCATCCGAGAGTGAAAGAATAACTAGACAAAAAAGTGATTTCACTCGTGAATTCCGATTCACATTGAAATCTTGCATGAATATTTAATTAAAATTTCTAGTCTACGTTTCAATATAAGCTTAAAGTCTAGGCCCCAACTGACCCACGTTTGTCATCTAAGGTTTAAAGAATAACAGGAAAGTGATTTCAGGTTCGTACCCATCTAGTATTTCCTACTCGTGATTTTTAGCCCGCACTAAAATCTCGTATAAACATTTCATGAAAATTCTTATCCTACGTTTTAGTTTAGGCTCAAATTCTGAGCCCTAAATGACCCACGTTCATTATACGAGGATTGCCGAATAACACGAAAAGGAAGTGATTTCAGGCTCGTAACCGTTTACTACTAAAATTCTCAATTCCGTGTGTACCATCAGGTATCAATCTGCGCATTGCGCTGACACTTCCGACGGCCCGTCAACGAAATCAGTTTACACCACAAAGAGGGTATAGTTTCCAGTAAAGATCTCTTCCATGATAGCTGGCCCACCGATCTGGCGAAACACCCAAGATGCCCGCGTAACCCTCTCCTCGCGAATTAATTCTCTCACGCTCATAATAGCGGGATTGTGTTATTGTTCCGTTTCGGGAACTGGCATCGTTCGAAGCGCGCGGATTACGATTATGAGAGTTCGTTTTTCATCGTGTACGATCGCCTGAAAACGATAAGACTGCGTACATTGCACCCGGAGGAAACCGCGAGAGTAAAAAGAAAAAAAAAAGAGAAGCACGAAAGAAGCAATACCAGTTTCGGGGCCACGAATGAATCTTTATCAAGAATCCTCTTTCTTTATTCCCTCCCGCTCCCTCGGTGACTCTGGTGGCTCATAAATTGTACTTTTAACGGAAAAGAATTAATTGCGTCCCTGCGACGGACCGGGGGACAGAACTCGGTGTATTCCAACGCTGTAGGTACCCTTGACTCGTTTTAAACGTGTTATGATATAGTATCTGGTCGTTGGTTGTACCGTAATTTAGGATTAGCCGGTGATTATTAACGAGACTGATTAATTTAATGGCTTTATACCAAAGCTGTTAGTGTCCCCCCGGTTTTGAATACTAATTTGGACTATTATAATCCTCGTTTGATCGTGTCGCGTAATTAAAATTCACGCAGAGTACGACCGAGTCTGCAGAATCATCGCGAATCCCAATTTCCAAGCGGATAAAAAGTGTCGTACAGTTACGCGGAGAATATTTTCTGAAAATATACTGTTAAGATTCTTGACTTTGAATGGTTTATTCATACGGGCTATGCCATTATACGTTCCAAACTTTTCAAGTAACAGTTCTTCTGTGCAAAAAGAAACTACTACCCAACAAAAATTGTGCACTTGTTGCTAAAATAATTTTCATTGATCCATCGATTTTTGTAGTCTTAATGATTTCCTCGTGGGGCAACTATTATTCCAAAGAAGTGTGTTGTTATTCCTGTATTAACTTTTATCGGTCCCCCAGTTTTTATGTTCGAAAAAGTTGTGGTCCTGTTCCTATAGTAATTTTTAATTTTTCCACCCTGTATATTTGAATCCATGACAGAGAAGATTTGAAAATTATAGATTGTTCGTAAACGGAACACGATGAATCATTTGCGAGGATTTCGCAGTCGATTCTAAAAGGATTCGATCGCTGATTAGTCGATTCCAGCAAGTGTGACGAGCAAGCACGTTTGCCAGCTTGTACAGGTGTTATTGTCGGCGGTAATAATAAGTTGATGCGAACAGAAATGCAGAAGTGATCGTTGGTCGTTTCACTCTCTAGGCAGTCGTGCTACTATCCTCGATTAATGTCGGCGCTGAAGAGGATCTGAAAGAAGACGCGGACTTTAACGACCATAAAGAACATAACCGGACGACTGCCGCGTCCATCAAGATCAACGGCGAGGAATCCAAGAACAAGACGACAACGACGACGATTTCGGTGAGTGAAAGAGATTTCTATTTGCTTAAATAACATTTCGCATGGCGCATCGACTGCGATCGTTATGGACAAAAGTGTTTGTGTTGTGACGAATTCGTTTAAATGAAGTCTGAAATTGGAAGGGAAGTAAGTTCGTGTTGAGTTCCTGCTGCTTTATCTCGAACAAGAATGTACAGTAATTATCAGACACTGCTGATGTTTACTCAAATACAGATTTCTGTGGATTAATTTATTACGATTGAAGTCAAATAGAAATTTGTTTGACTCGCTGAGGCTTCTGTGAGGCGACAGAAGATAGAAGGTTTTTCAGAACCTTTGACCAAAGCGGTGTAGTAATTATAATACATACTTGTGGCACACAATAATGTTGAGGGATAAAAAAGAAAACGTAAAGGATGATGAGGTAAAATAGGTGAAGAATTAGTATAATAGGTGAACAATTGAGTTATTTGTCCAATTCGTCTCTTAATGTTACGTCTATCGATCGATATATTCGGAAGAAATAAGACGAAGCTGTGCCAGTAAATTATAGTTTACTTCCATGATAGAATGTAGATCGAAAATTGTTTATTTTCTAAAGATTTGAGTTTTAAAAATGATTTGTATATATTTAAAAAAGGTTCAATCTTCCTACGGAAATGGAAATCGACAAAACGCCACCAGGGTTCTTGCGCTTCCGCTGAGCGCGGACATCGCGAAAGTGATAGCCGAGGATGCCACAGGCGACGAGGAGAATCCTGAAGAATTGCCAGAGGTAAAAACAATTTTTTTGGGAGGTATCTAACGTTTCGATTTTAAAATAACATGTTATTTTCTAATTACAAGCGACTGATTTCGATCGTTGAATTAATTTGAACTGTCGACTACCTTTTATTTGACAGTAATTCTATTTATGCGTTAGCTTGATTCTCATATACCTACCTACATCTGATAATGAATTTATTTATTTTTACTTAATTTATACGTACTCTTATATATCACTTATTCCCTGTGTTATTATAACATTTTCTTTAATAGACCGGTCATTACATTAAACACGCATGAACGATACAACTTTCACTGAAATGTGGTGAAGCTAAAAAATTAGTCTCTCCAATTTCTTTATTTGTGTTCATGGAATTTGTTATATTGATATGTACAATATATATGTATATCGTGATGTGGAAATAGGAATTTGATGCTCTGAATATTTTTATGATACTCAGCTTACCACTTCGTTATTCTAGATTTACTACATCCTCAATAGTAGCCTTGAATCTGTTATCTCATTAAAATGTAATTGCGAATGACGAACTTGAAGTTTAGAACACATCAGCTTCTGACTTCTGGGTCAGTGTTAGTACTCCTTAACGAAGCGTGAATGACTGACCTTCACAAAAGACAGGTAGAAAGCTGTATTGAAAACTTCTTTTTACAATACTAAATTGCAGGGAAATTTTCTTCTCAGTTATACATAAACATTCTACTGTTCATACTTTGCCAATGAATCACTCAGTACCTATTCAAAGATGATCTTGTCTGCTGAAAAATTATTGTATTTTTTACCGATGAGTCTTAAACACAAAATACATTAAGTTTTAATACACAGTTTGATCATAAGACCTTCAAGTTTGAAGTAGACTATATAAAATTATCCGAATATAATTCCGATGCATTTTCTAAGCAACATTTAACAGTCTCTATTGTTAAGTAAATCATGTTACGTACACAGTAAAATATATCTTTTAATTTAATGTACATTTAATAATGTTTGTTGGTAAATTTCATTGATGCAAATGTAACCTGTTATCTATAAATTTTTGTGGAGTTTCTAATTCTTATATTATATTAAATTCCACTATTGTTATTATTTAATTGGCTCTAGAGTTTATGTAATTTCACCATGATATTTCACTACGATGGAAACATAATTAATTCAAAGATACCATCTTCAGCCGTATATTCAAGCAGTGTCAAAACAATTTCCCCTCGATTATCGCTTCTGATCTAGGAATTTTCAAGAGGACACTTTCGTCTGTGACCATGTTCTCGCAGGAGCACTTTCACATTGCATCTGACGCATTTTTGTGGTCAGGAATTTCAGAATTTTCTAACTCCGAATGGAAATCTGAGAACTAGGAATGGATTTTTTAGGGCTATATGCATTAATACATAAAACCGGGTCAAAGTGTATAATACTTTGATATTTTTATTACAGGCACAAGAATTGAAGATTATTAGACCAAATTTAAGGAAACGACCCACTTATCGACCACCTCCTCCACGTAGACCATCTCCAACGAATAGAAGAAACGTTTATGCAGGTAAATATTTCACGCATTCAAATAGTAACACTGGATTGTTTTCGAAGTAAACAATGGAGCTCAAATTCATAAAAACAGTAACACTTAAACTTCTGAATAGTTCAAGTGTCATTGATCAATAGTACAATACTTATCAAATGTTTTAGCTGAACGGTATATAAAATTAATGATATTATAATTGCATATAATACATTATACGAATACCAAAATATTATATTAATGAGTAATTCAAAATCTAGCGGAAAGTATTTAAATTCGCATACGTCAGAAATATTAAAATTCCATAGTTTACAGCCCGTAGAATTGTTCAGTTTATCTTGTAATCTACGAACCAACCGAGCATACTACTAATAAAATGAAAGACGTCAATAAATTTACGGAGATCTCAAAAAGAATTTATTCTCAGTCGTTACTACAAACGACAGTCATTACCACGAAGGAATGTGATTTTGCAGATATGACGAGGTCACCGTTGATCAGACCACCCCGAAGGCCCACAGATCCGAAGAGGGATCCCACTGAGAAAGAGTGCACTTTCTTCACAAAGACAGTTTGTCTCGAGGCGGCTGATTATCCTCAGTGAGTATTATATCGCGTTTTTTCCTCGTTTCGCTAGAATGCTACAATTGCGTAACTAATTTCCTCCACCGAACTTTAATGTACTTTCTCGGATACGTAGAGACAAGAGGTGACTTCCATTAGGAAAGCGTGATTCTCACACAATGGTAACAACATAATTCGCGGCTCATTAAAATAAAAGAAAGTACTTTTCTCTGTGGTTCAGCGGGTTTGTACGTCCATTGCGTAATTGTAATTTTCACTTTTACGTTCTCATAACCATTTTTATTCTTAATTGAGCTTCGTACGGGTTCTGACAACAGTGGAAACTATGGAAATAATGAGAAAAGCATAAACTTTTGTTTTCTATTTCCTGCTTGTATCATAACTCTGTGCGAATGACAGTATAAAGAGTGGATAGTGTAGGGTATTTAAATATATCTTGAATAATGTTTTTTGTAATGTTAGTGAACCTTATATAATGCTTCTAGTAAATTTTAATAATTATAGGCTGAATTCATTATTGATGCCAATGAAATAAATATTTGTTTAGCGAAGCCATAATTAGAAGCTTGAGAGGCAACAAAGAGATGGTGGCAGCCTTGCTGACTGATTATAAATCGCAGGATTTTGATGATTCTGGCGACAGCGTGCCAGTTTCTATACCTCTTGGGGTCAACTACGAGAATAAGTACGATGGACGATACGAGAATCGATTCGATAGCAACGAAATCAGACGGTAAAATTTACAATTTTTAATATCCTTAAAGATTATTAAAAATATTCTACAAGGTTTTTAACAGATGTCAGAGGAATAAATATATATACAGTAAAAATTGACCTGTTTCGACCTATATAGCAATTGTAAAATATTTATTACAGCAAAGTAGAACTCTGCTATCTGGTTACTTTTATTAGTATGTTATATCAGAACTCGTGCTAACCCCTTGTGACTGCTTACACCGTTAACAGCGCAGCACTATCGTATAGTATAGCCTCTTCACGCAGGAGCAGACAGTGCATAATAGAAAATGCAACGTATGCAGTTGGAGTCAACATTATTCATTCTTAATTGCACTTTATGAGTTCAATTCGGAATAATGTACTATAATCATCTAATTTGTTAGCGTAACGGTTGCACAATAATGTTACTATGTCTATCTAAGTCATTAATATGTCATTAGTAGTCTCACAAGTTACAATCAAAAATAATTTTCCAGCGCAATTACTTTGTAGTCAATTATTAACTTCAATGCTAAATTATTCCAATTAATTCATTTAATTGTTACGACATTGTTTATGTAATTGATTGTAGTTTTGTGGAACATATGTATTTTAGGAGATCTGATGCGAACTTGCCGTTCGAAAACGTCGAAGAAGGCTTCACGTGTCCATCGATCATCAAATATGCGCGTCCGCAATTGGCCAGAGCCGCTTCCGGCATGTGGAAATATATAATAAATACTGGCGAACATACGCAGACTTTGAGGTTGGAGAAGTGTCTGTAAGTGAATGATAATTAAACGCAGCGTAATTTATTCATTACTACTAGAAATATTAACTTTCTAAGTAAAATTTGTTGAAACCTAATTACTAGTATTTCGAAAACAGTATCGTTTATCGTTATTTAATGGTCATGGGGGCCTTTATTATACGATTCAGTTACTGCTTTCTCAAAAGACCACATCGGATCGTTCCTATCTTTTTCGCCGTGGAAATTGAAGTTGGTTACTTCGTCACAAATGAATGAACGAAACATCTACTTTATGGAGAACGGTTTGCGGTGAAGGGATCACAAGCACCATTTGCACTAACATTTACGCTTCACTTTCTTCCGTAGTGACAGAATCAAACGAGAATCACGTGAAAAGAGTCCCTCTGAAGCACCGTTTAAGACTAGTGTTATAATTTTTAAGCGAAAGATGACATAACAATTGAATAGCACAGAAAAATACCAATAAACGTAATCTTTCAATTTCAGGAATGCACAGTCGAGTTGTTCCTTTATTTCGGAGAATTATCGATCATCCTGCGTGCAAATCTATAATTATCACAGACTCCTAACGTGGGACAGCAAACTGGGTCTTCACATGGACATTTTTAAGGTGCCGTCATGCTGTAGCTGTCACGTGCATGGTTATTCCGATATCTTTCCTCCTCATCAAAAGGATCCACCCCCGAAACCGAAGGAAAAATTTCCTGGTTCCGATTTCGCCACCACGAACGACCAAAAAGACGATTACGAGGATGTCACTAATCTGAGCTATTTGAATAAATTTGCAGCCAATTTTGATTCCTCTATCGGTACGATTTTCATGACTTATAGGAACAGTAGCTTTGACAAAGTTTCACATCCGATTCTTTTTTTTTATTCTTATTAAGTCTTTAACACTAGAACCGCCAGCGTTGAACGTACAGTAAACTAAATTGTATAATGTATAGTAATATACATAATATACAGGGTGTCCTTTTTAAATCCACCCACTTGAATACCTCCGAAACTATTGACGATATTAAAGAATATTTCAGATAAAAGTTAAGTGGTATCAGAGAGCATACTTTCTGATGTAACTTTTTTTATGTGGGTGCGTAGAAATCATGAAGGTCAACTTTGTTTTTTTAATGGAATCGTATATTCTTTAAGGCACTAATTTGCCATAAGTGACTTAGTACTTTATGTAGGGAATAACGAGTAACATCAAGTGGTGCATTAAAAAAATATATTATTCCATGTAAGGAAACAAAGTTGACCTTCATATGACCACTACGCGTCCACATGGAAAAAAGTTCCTCACATAAAAAACTGTGCCCCCTGATACTATACAACTTTCGTCTGAAACACTTTTTTAGTATGGTTAGATATTCGAGTGGGTCGATTTAAATAGGATACCCCGTATAATATAATCTAACACAGGACACTATGAAATGTGAATTCAATTAAAAGTCCACATGAATTTCGCCAAAAGCGCTATTATGATATCAGTAATCGTAAAATAAGAAATCTTCAATCCCTCATTTTGATAAGTTCGGTAGTTCTACTGTTAATGAAGGCTCAGTAGTAAAGCTCCTGTCTATTACAACCACAGAAATGCTATTGTTTCTAAACTGCAGCGGTTCGTTAAATGGGAAATTAAATAGAAGTTTCTTTCAATTACCATTATTTATATAGAATGGACACATATTCCCTTTCTTGTGTACAGTAGGCTCAAGCAATAAAAAACCTGTAATGGAGCCCACGCCGAGTCGACCAAAGCGCCAAACACCAGAGCACCTGGCTACACTGGTCCATTGTCGAAAGGTGCGAGGCCAAGCCGACCGAACAGACCGCCATATAGAAGAGAATCCACATCACACGTCGAAGAACACACGGAATCTGTGAGCAATAGTTCGAATGGAAATAGGTAATTTCCCATAAAATAATTCATTCCTTTCAGAATAATCCTACAAAATGGAGACGTTCCTTAAAATTCGATAGATTGATATTCCAGATTTTACAAGTTAGTGGAGTTAGTTTGAATATTTATGACACACAGGTATAGTCAGCCGTACGATTTGGACGTGGACGCCTCGTCGCGGTTACAAAATGGCGGTTTCGACGACGAGTACCAGGAGCCACAGAGACGGGTCAACTATAATTACCATCCCATTATAGACTTCTTTAGACCGGAGGCGTCGATGTTGCATTCCTCAGAAACACAATCCGCCCTTGTTCAAGATGATTCGAACTCTTGGAAGCCGGTGATATCGTCTTAAGTGCAATTTCGTTTTCTTCGGAGTACCTGATCGTATATTTCCATTGTAAAAATATCTTTAATTAGTCGCGCTTTAACGTTAATGGATCGTAGATAGGCGTTAGTTATTCGTATCGAACTTAGCCGGTGTTTTTTTATATTCGTACTTTTATACTCACGAAAATCATTCGTATTCGTCAAGGTGTCATTTCTTCGTCGTCGGAATTTCGCTCTCGTGATCCGGTTGTGTCACAGATCGTACGAGACTCGACGAGAGATTCGAATATAACGAAGCAATGTACATAGAAGGTACTAATAGAATTTTATCAGTATAATTGCGGTGAGTGCATAATGCCTGTAGAAGTATTATGATCGTGTTGGGCCGGTGCAATCACAAACACATTGTAATTATGTAATATTATGTGAATTTTATTCTATTATATTTATTATTCGTTACATTTATTAATTTATGAAATTACCATCAATCGATTGTACACTCACGACTTACGAAATATATGATGTAGCAATCACTTAATTCTGCATCCTTAGCGTCGTACATACTTCGTCATTTCATAAAGAACGTAGGATCTATGGAATACAATATCATCGAATATGGATCGATAGTACTAATTATAGTCGATACAAGTGACATCTGGAATGCTTTAGATCTCAGAGATTCTTTGGACAAACAGGATTCCTAAGATCTCCGAGACTCCTCGGAGGCACCAGATCCGCTAGATCTCTGAGACCCATAGGACCTTTCATATCCCAGACACCCTGGATTGCTTTTAGGACTTGTCAAACCCCTCGGAATCCCTGTAAACCCTGAGAACCCCATTATCAGCTTCCACGAGTGGTCATCTGTACTATGTTCTACTGATCTAGGGTGGTTCAATGTTACCAAAATGTTGACAAAAAGACATGAAACAAATCTTTCATTCCAGCGGCCTATAGTTGCTAGAATCAGACCTTATCGGTCTCTAGTTGGGTTCCACGATTCCAAAGCTGTCTATATAATGTTATAGAAATCGGAGGCTACCTGTATCGGTACCCACAAGTAAGTGCCACAAAGGAATCTGCAGTCAACTGTATAATTATTCACTTCTTATTCAACTCTTACGAATTAAACACCTCTGGTAGTCTATGATTTCACGTTTCCCGCTACGTTAGAAGATTTATTCCTACCTCGAATAGTAGATTCCTCCGTTCAGCCCTTTCGTCCCTTGCTTCAGGAAAAAAATTCATACATATAATATACAACCACTTGGACTAACATAAATTGACGTTTACACGAAGCTATCTGTCCACAGTCAAGAGCAAAGCGCGTTTTGCTTAACTCAGTCGTCTGTGAATCGTTTGTTTCGGTCGCTAAGTTTCCGCGGAGGAGATTGCACCGGGTCTTTCCGCGTCGAGCCGCCAACCGTGTCGCCCGAGCCACAGTTTTCTTCGCTTCGCTGGCCCAGGATAAAACGTTACTGAACTTCGAATCCTGGAAACGTGTACCGACCACGGTGGGATCGAATCTTTGTCTACTTTTTTCTTTGCAAAGTCGCGGATCAGTAGCGATCCCGATGACCGAAAAATTAAATCCGGTCGATGGACAAGAGAACGAAGCCCTCTTACGTGGGCGGCCAAGAGAGTGATTGTGATGAATTAAATTAAATTAAGCGAACGTTACGTAAAGAGTCTTAATTAAACGCCGAGTAAAATAAAATGATTCGTGCAATGAATATTATTCTGCACTGTACGACATACTTGTTATACGCGATGCTTGAAAATTTTAGTCATTACAATTGCATTTGCGCTGTGTAACGGTAATTTCTAGCGGGAAGAACTGTACCACTGAAGGAGTCTTTAACCGTTAATCTTTGGATGAACAATTTTGCACAATTTAAAAACTGCGGTAAGTTATTATTCTCTTTGATATTAAACATTAATTATATATTGTATGATTTTAGTAATTTAACTGTCTAGAAAATTTAAAGTCACTTATTCTTGCTTTTTATCTTATGAAGGAAGTTAATAAAAATGTGGGGCACTTTTATATGGGATGGATTGTACACGCAAAACTAATTGTAAGACGAAAATCAAGAATGAGGAAATTGCGTTCGAGGCTTTGATTTTCAAGATTTTCATGTGTGGGAAATACATGTGGCGTAATGGGTTGTACTACTTAGAACAGTGGATTCCCAGGTGATACACGGGATCGATCGATGATCGAATTAAATTCATGAATGAAATAAAATAAAATGAATGAAACCAACTCGTGAAACAATTGAAGAGTGCGCTTATGAAGTAGAATAATCCGTCGTGTCAGACGTAATTTAACGCGTACTTCGCCCGTATTTTCATCAATCAATAACTGGGAAACAAAACCTCGAGCGAAATTTCGTCATTCATGATTTTCGTCTTAGTTTTGCATGTAGAATTCAACCTGTGAAAGTGTTCCATATTTTTATTACAACCCTGTATAAGTATATTAAAAAATTTATAAGAAATCTGATATTGTAATATCTACAGAGGATCAAAGAGCCAATAGGATTATAACTGCCGCTTGAGGATGCAGCATCATTGCCTAGTAGAATACTTATTGATCGTATGATCAAACGTAATCGAATTCAATATCCACGAAGAATAAATATGTACATGTTAAACCCTAAATTACAATAATTAATCAATTAACTGTTTAAAATATGTGCATGTGTCATTACCAAATACAATAAAATGTTCCACTACCTCATATCATTTCAATTTTCAACTAACCTGAGAATTCAGTTAATTCCAAGGTATTTGTGATAAAGCATCGTCGAGACACTTTTCCAAGTTCGAGCCTCGTAACAATAAACCACGCTATTCAATGTCGCCCGAACGTTGAAAGTTCGTAGAAAAGTGAAATTAGCGTATCGTGAGAACTAACGACCCCGATCGTAGTCGAAGGGGTAAAGAAGCACGAACTTTCTGCCGCAAGATCGTGGCCATTCGATCCAAATTACCGAATCCCGCAGAAAGCGGCGCAAAAAAAAGACACGAAATAGCGGCGATGCAATTAGTGCGCCGCGTGTGCCAGCCTGGCCGAGGGATTTCTTTATTCCCTTTCCCGTGAAACGATCCACCGGAGGATTCAATCGAGAGTGACAGAATCGTTCAGCGTTTAAGGCCTCGCAACGGTCCCGTGAACAACGGCGTTTTAGACCCTACTACCTCCGCTTAGGCACGCTAGAAAATATAAATTAGGCCAGACGTACGGTGCCGCGAACAGTTCGATGGCGGTTCTCGTTCGAAAATGATTGGAAACCGATCGTCACGTATCGTACGTAAAAACAGACGGCAATTTCTCCTGTGTTCGATTACGCCGGTGGCGAACGTGAAGCAATCTATCCACCGTTGTGCGACAGTTACGATAATAACGAAGCATCGATCCGTGGTAGATCAAACTGTGCGGGATTAAAACGAAGAAATTCTCCTACCCCTGGTGTCATGTGAAAAGTTTATCCACCTCGAATAAACCGAAATTTTCTATCGATTAATAACACCAACGTCAATGAAACCAAGTGTAATGGCAAGATCCGAATAACGCAATGAATCAAGTACCATTAATTCGTCGTCTGTTGTTCATTCTTCTGGTGTCGATTCTCGAAACTCACACGAAGTCTGTAGCCGATGGTATATACATCCCCAGAGGAGCTAACTATTCTTTAAATAGTAACAGTTCGATTATAGTTAACGACACCGAAAGTGATTCTTCAGTCAATATACTGTCAACAAAACCAACGACTGTATCACAACAAGAGGATCAGGATCCTATCCAACCATCAGATACCATAGTCTATAATAGATTCAAGAATCCTCCAGACAACGATGAAAGGTATTCGTCCTCTGACGAAGATCCAAAAGGTCCTCCAGATCACGTGATACCGTATTCGGAGCACGAGGCGCCAAGGGAGGTTGCAACGAAGCCGAGATACACTGCTCCAGGGCAATGGGCCAGGCCAACGAAGCCCAGGGACGTCTCTTCAGAGGACGTACCGTCGAAATTGTACGCGCAGGTCAGACGAACTCACACCGTCAGACGATTGCCTCGAAGGAAGGCGGTCGAGAACGCGGAGAGCGAGGAGGAGAAGGAGAACGCCTCAAGACTGAGGGAAGTTGTGAGAAACTCGAAGGTGAACACTGTGTATACCGAAGAGGGCTACGAAGACTCTGCCTACGATCATGCCGGACAGATCAGGGACGCTGATTACCACGAGGGTTACGCCAAGAAGCTTCAGGAGCAGTTGGACACCAGGAAGAAGACTGCAGACGATCAAGGCAACGATGGAAAGGCGGACTCGTCTAATCCGAGAAAGCACAAGAATGTCGATCCTGAGGAGTTCAAGGATTACGATGAAGATTACAGGGAGTATTACGAAACAACCACGGACCGTGGTAGATCAGGTGATGACAGCGAGGAGGAAGGTAAGTGGACGAATAATGCGTATCCAAAATCGGTTGCTCAGAATGGAGCGCGAAGACTGGAGGAAGATTTGGAGAGGGAGGCAATGGAGATCGAAAGAGGCGTTGAAATCAGTAAATTGGTGAAGGATCGAGCCTCGGGGGATTCAGAGAACTTCACCGACTCTCCCAGTGATGATGGCTATAGATCGAAGCAGGATAAGAAGGGAAGGAGACATAGCAAACGAAAAAGGCCGACGTCGACCAGAGTCGATGATCCTGAGGATAACGGAGGAGTGGAAGGATCGCATGATTTGAAAAATGAAAGCGTCTACGTACAGGATTCCACAACTTCGAGGACTCCTGGAGACGAAGAAGGGATTTCTACGGACCGTGCAATGCACGAGACGACAACTGTGATAAATTATAACGACAATTTGTTGAATAGACCTTCGGAATCTTACAGATACGAGGTTGAAGGTAATTCTCCGACGCAGACTGAAGTAATTGATTTCCAACGAACCGATGCTAATCCAGCGACAATCAGTTACAGTCAACTCTTCTGGGACTACTTTAAAGCGAAGCAAAATC